TTTGGAATGGTCTAAAGTTGGTCCATGCTTTTGTCCTCTTGGAATTGGACTTGATTGACTTAAATCAAGGGATCATCTGCACACCCACATTATGGGCATCTAAGTCCAAAACATCTGGAGGGACGACCCAAGTTGTCCTATGCATGCTATTCAAGATGGAAGCAAGAAGCATTGGATTGAATGTTTTGGGGTTTTGTAGGATGCTTTTGCGCCTGTTTGACCTCACTTGAACTGCCATGGTTCGATGCTATGGGAATTTGGAAATTGTAGTTTGACGAACAAACTACAGCTCCCAGAATTCCATAGCATTTCGGCATGGGCAGTCAAACCGCATTCATTTGGATGCACCCAGAGAAGGCAGAAGACCTTGTAAAACTACAAATCCCATAATTGTGGGAATTTATAATTGTTTATTGACAGTTTTTATATTCCACCCTTCTCACCCTGCAGGGGACTCAGGGTGGATTACAATGCGCATATACATGGCAAACATTCAGTGCCAATTAGACATACAACATATATAGACAGACACAGAGGCAATTTAACATTCCAGCTTTTCCGGCTTCATGAGGGTATGCTCCGTTCCGGCCACAGGGGGAGCTGCCACTTCACCGTCCACTTGTGACACCGAGTCCAAATATAAACTTATTAGTATTTCAATGGGAAGGGTGGGCCTGCTTTTGGTTGATGAGATAGGGTTGTTGTTGTTGTTGTTGTTGTTGTTGTTGTGTGCTTTCAAGTCATGCCAGACCTAGGTTGACCCTGAGCGAGGACTGGGCAAATGACCTTGGAGGGCCGTATCCAGCCCCTGGGCTGTAGTTTGAGGACCCCTGGCATAGGTCAACAGCAAGCTAAACTATTAATAGTTGCGAGCTCACTCCGACCTGGGCTGGCTTTGAACTCATAACCTCTTGCTCAGCAGTGATTTAATGCAGCTGGCTATTAACGAGCTGCGCCACAGCCCAGCACAAAACACCTGGAGGGCCGAAGTTGTCCCAGGCCTGGTGTGTAGTATCGTGTACTTCTCCTTTTGTTATTCTTGGCCAATGGGCTCTCCTTTCTGAATAATAATTAGCTTCCGAGCACAATTCAAAGTGCTGGTGCTGACATAAATCCCTAAACGTCTCTGGTCCAGTTTACCTGTCCGAATGGATTCTCCCCTATGAACCATCAAGGTTGTTAAGATCTTTTTGAAGGGCCCTGCTCTTCGAAATMGCGTTTGGTGGGGACGAGGGACAGGGCCTTCTRGGTGGTGGCCCCTCGGCTCTGGAACTCTCTCCCGCTGGAGATTAGATCTGCCCCTTCCCTCCTGACTTTCAGAAAGCTGGTAAAATCTTGGCTTTGGAATATAGCATTTGCAGAATGATGARTGAGTCAATAACYGCTGACCACACTGGCGGATGGTGATGAATTTGTGATTTTACTCTGACGACCTGGCTTTTGTAATTGTATGATCTGTATTTTAATGTATTTTTGTATTTTTTTTTGTCGTGTCAGGAGCGACCTGAGAAACTGCAAGTCGCTTCTGGTGTGAGAGAATTGGCCGTCTGCAAGGACGTTGCCCAGGGGACGCCCGGATGATTTGATGTTTTTATCATCCTTGTGGGAGGCTTCTCTCATGTCCCTGCTTGGGGAGCTGGAGCTGACAGAGGGAGCTCATCCGCCTCTCCCCGGATTCGAACCTGCAACCTGTCAGTCTTCAGTCCTGCCAGAACAGGGGTTTAACCCACTGCGCCACTGGGGGCTCCATGGCTGATACCAAATGAGAGACTCCCCCCCTGGGAACACAGAAGGGCGACTTGGAAGGTGCTGAACAGACTGCGCTCTGGCACCACGAGATGCAGAGCCAACCTTCGGAAATGGGGCCACAAAGTGGAGTCGACAACATGCTAGTGCGGAGAAGCGCAAACCACTGACCACCTGCMGCAATGCAACCTGAGCCCAGCCACATGATGCAAATGGAGGACCTTCTTATAGTAACACCAGAGGCACTCCCAAGTGGCCAGCTCCTGGTCAAAGGACATTTAGTATAATGCCAAGCTTGCAAACTTTGTGTTTCGTTTCTTTGTTTGTTAAAAAATTCAATACAACTGTTTGGTTTGCTCCTGACACGATAAATAAAAATAAAATTACATTAAGCAGCCATTTTGAATTAGAACTCCCACCTCCCCTTTGGATAAACAGCCCCAGTGGATAATGGGAATTACACCAAAGGAGATAACAGTGGAAGTTGATTATAAAAGTAACTTTAGTAAGTGAAACCCCCTCCCCACTTTTCTCTCTCAAGGGACACTCTGGCTTTTAGGCAGCTCAGTCAGTATCTGACCCAGGCATAGGCAAACTTGGGCTGTCTGGGTGTTTTGGACTCCAACTCCCACCATTCCCGACGGGCTCGGGCCCCTTCCTTTTCCCCCTCAGCCGCTATCAGGAATGGTGGGAGTTGGAGTCCAAAACACCCAGAGGGCCAAAAGTTCGGCCATGCCAGATCTAACCTAACCCTATTACAATTTCTGCCAAAGTTAAATAGCAATGCAATCATATTCTTACCTGTGTGTTCCCACTCAGCTTCTGGAATATGTCATAGATCTGGTCCTTGAAACCGCGGCTCAACATCTCGTCGGCTTCATCCAGCACGAACATCTTGATGAACTTGGGAGCTGCCGAGACCCAAAAAAAGACAGAAAAAGACATTTAACCCAGGTTTAATATTCTGAAATAAACTATCTGCATTACACTTTACACCCAAAGATCCTGGTACTGTAAAATATAGACAAATGCAGGCTTGGACCATATATGTGCGAATTCACAGACACCACGACGAAGAAAGAGATCTCAGCTAGCCCTGAGGGGACAAAGGGAAGCCGCCGTCCTCAGGACCTTGTTAGGTTATGATCACTTTCCCCAAGCGAACCCCACCTCTCCCCCCAACAAGGCAGAACGCCTTCCGGAAGGGAGACTGTGGGGCCGCGAGGGGGGTCAGATGACACGCATGAGGTCAATCATCACGGAACAGCAGCCGTTTGGGTGCAAAATGGGAAATCCTGAGAATCACTGCTACAAAACTATGTAAAACATATTTAAAATATTCAGAAATTAAATCATTCAGCATTAATGAGCCTAAAATCCTGAAATTGTTGGGTTGCTTCAGATACTACTATGGCTCCACGGGATTTGCAGTTCTCCATTAGGATTCTATGCCAAGGAACTCCCATAATTCTACAGGATGCACTCAAATTGACTTTTTTGTTTGTTTACGTGGCACGTGAGTAGGGAGCTTTGATGCCATTTTGATGCTGCAACTCCAACCCATGGAATTATGGGATTTGCAGTTCTTCATGTTGTATTTGTAGCCGCCAGTGGCATAGCGGGTTAAACCGCTGAGCTACTGAACTTGCTGACTGAAAGGTCAGCAGTTCAAATCCATGGAGCGGGGTGAGCTCCCACTATTAGGCCCAGCTTCTGCCAACCTAGCAGTTTGAAAACATGCAAATGTGAGCAGATCAATAGGTACCGCCCTGACAGGAAGGTAACGGCACTCCATGTAGTCATGCTGGCCACATGACCATGGAGGCGTCTACGGACAACGCCGGCTCTTTGGCTTAGAAATGGAGATGAGAACAAACCCCTAAAGTTGGACTTAATGTCAGGAAACCTTTACAGTTCTACAGGATGCACTCAAATTGACTTTTAAAAATGTCACACATGAGTAGGGCACTTTAATGCCATAATTATTATTATTAATAATAATAATATAGGTTTCTTACTTGTAACCGTAGTTCCCCGAGTGGTCGCCTGTGAATTTGCACATATGGTATTTCTTGCGCTTGCGCAATGGCGGCGGATAAAAGGAACTGAAGCTGTAGCCCCACCCACTGGCTCTATATCTATATATGTATGTATGTATGTGTGTGTGTGTGTATATATATATATATCAAGGGGAGAATGGGCGGGGCTACCACCTGAAAGTGTCTAATAAGTTTTCTAGAAGATTCCGAACTGCTGCGCTGGCACAAGCAATACCATATGTGCAATTCACACGGACCACAGGGGAAACTTTATTTTTAATCTGCCACCATCTCCCCAAAGGGGACTCGGGGCGACTAACACAAGGCCAAGCCCAAAAAATAATACAACATAATAATAAATGAAATATCATATGTGCGATTCACAGCGACTACGATGAGGAAACTTTATTTATAACCTGCCACCATCTCCCCAAACGGGACTAACACGAGGCCAAGCCCAAAAAATAATACAACATAATATTAATAAACTTTATTTGTACCCCGCTACCATCTCCCCAAGGGACTCGGAGCGGCTTACATGAGGCCAAGCCCAAAGCACATCAAACAAAACATCAATAACCAATCAATAAAATACAAATCATATAAATCTGAATCCCTCTTTGAGGATGAGAGAGTCGGTATATAAAACCTCAAAATAAATAATAATAAATAATAAATCACATAAACAAAAAACCATCAATAGTGACGTAAACAATTTTAAAATGGCTTATAACAGAAATGCAAATCTTATGGCAAGCGCAGTGTGCAGAAGAGCAAAAGGGACCCCAGTTCGAAAAGTTGCCTGGCCCTCCTCACAAGTCCCTCAACTTCGCTGGATTCTGAAGAGCTCCAGTTCAAGAGAGAAATTTGCAGGCTTTTCCAAATGTAAACAACTCAAATTGCAGGGATACTTACACAGGTACCTCCTGTTCAGCATGTCAAAGACTCGCCCGGGGGTCCCCACAATGATGTGAGGGGCTTCCATCTGCAGCTTCTGGACTTCGGCACGGACGTTGGTCCCCCCTATGCAGGCATGGCAGGAGGCGCCCATGTAGTCGCCCAGAGCCATCACCACTTTCTGGATCTGTTTTGTGGGAGGAGGAAAGAGGGAGAGGTCACGCAAGGACCCAGGCTGGTCATCCACACACGGCTGAGAGCTCTCTGGAGCCACCTTGAGCAATCCTTGTTTCCCCAGCATGAACCAGCAGGCAGCCACTGGGAGAGACGCTGCGCTGGGATGAACAGGGCCAATTACTGTCCCCCTGCTAGATATAAGGAAGGCGCCATGATGAAAGGCACCTCTTTGCCCAGTTAGCAGGGGATAGCAGAGGCATGGGAGAACTTGGGCCCTTCCTCCAGGTGTTTTGGACTTCAACTCCCACCATTCCTAACAGCCTCGGGCCCCTTCCTTTTCCCCCTCAGCCGCTTAAGCGGCTGAGGGGGAAAAGGAAAGGGCCCGAGGCTGTTAGGAACGGTGGGAGTTGAAGTCCAAAACACCTGGAGGAAAGGAAGAAACGCCAACAATAGACTAACAATTTGCAAAATAAATGGAAATCATGAATATTGATACACTGACCTACTTGATGACACCATATCAAAGAAGAAAGAAAATACAAATTAACTGGGAATTGGTTAAAAAAAAATCTCCAAAAATATACTGATTTAAAATTCCAGGACTGCCTTTTCTTAAATAAGGATTTTCTACTTAGGAAAAAGTAGAATAGAAAGGGAAAATAGTATTTTTTTTTTGTCGTGTCAGGAGTGACTTGAGAAACCGCAAGTTGCTTCTGGTGTGAGAGAATTGCCCAGCGGAGGCCTGGATGTCCTAACACCCTTGTGGGAGGTTTCTCTCGTGTCCCCACATGGAGAGCTGGAGCTGACAGAGGGAGCTCATCTGTGCTCTCCCCAGATTCGAACCTGGGACCTGTTGGGTTTTCAGTCCTGCCGGCACAAGGGTTTAACCCACTGCGCCATCGGGGGCTCAATAATAATAATAATAATAATAATAATAATAATAATAATAAGTCAAATTATTTGTATATACACGTGTGTGGTTTTTTCCCTTCTTTCTTCCTCTCAAAATTCCTACTTTTCTTGGATCATAGTGTTCACCCACTATCCACGTTTAAGAAATCCCTAACTCTGTATTGTTGAATGCTTTCATGGCTGGAATTGCTAGGTTGTTGTAAGTTTTTTTTGGGCTATATGGCTATGTTCTAGAAGCATTCTCTCCTGACGTTTCGCCTGCATCTATGGTAGGCATCCCCAGAGGTTGTGAGATCTATGGCAGGCATCCTCAGAGGTTGTGTATATGTAGAAATGCATGAAATAAATAAATAAATCTAGGAGCATTCTTTCCTGAGAGGTTGTGTTTATGTAAAAAAAGCATGAAATAAATAAATAAATCTAGAAGCATTCTCTCTTGACGTTTCGCCTGCATCTATGGCAGGCATCCTCAGAGGCTGTGAGATCTATGTCAGGCACCCTCAGAAGTTGTGTATGTGTGTATGTAGAAATGCATGAAATAAATAAATAAATCCAGGAGCATTCTCTCCTGACGTTTCGCCTGCATCTATGGCAGGCATCCTCAGAGGATGTGACACCTCACAAACTCTGAGGATGCTTGCCATAGATGCAGGTGAAATGTCAGGAGAGAATGCTTCCAGATTATTTATTTCATGCATTTCTATCCCGCCCTTCTCCCCCCGAAGGGGGACGCAGGGCGGCCTCACGCAAGCACCGTACGATGCTATCAATATGTAAAACAGTCCAAAACACATTAAAAAGCATTAAGAACACATTATACAATTCATTAAACAATAAATTAAACAAGCCAGTTGGAACCAAATCCAAGTCTGGGCAGATTTGATGTCACAGCTAGAACATGTCCACAGAGCCCGAAAAACTTGCATCAACCCAATCCTTAAGTCTGTCCCTTTTTCCTTCTTTTTGTTTGCTTCACTAAAAAAACTTGAATAAATGTAATTTTTTTTAAAAAAGAGGAAACCATCATTAGAGCTGTTTTTCTTACCTGCTGGGCCAGCTCTCTTGTTGGAGCCAGGACCAGGGCCTGGGTGGCCTTCAGGTCCAGCTCAATCTGCTGCAGGATGGAGATGGCAAACGTGGCAGTCTTCCCAGTGCCAGACTGGGCTTGGGCAATCACATCGTAACCTGGGAAGGGAAAAGGGAAGGATGAAGAAGGGCGAGGAAAGCCACCCTCCTCAAGAGAGGCGCCCGAGGAGCAAAACAAAGATCTTGTTTCCCCAGCATGAACCAGCAAACAGCCACTGGGAAGGACGCTGTACTGGGATGAATAGGGAGAATTGCTGTCCCCCTGCTAGATTGAAGGAAAGCACCACACCACAAGGCGCTTCTTTGCCCAGTTAGCAGGGGGAAAGGGAAGGAAAAGACGTCGGGAAGTTGGGCCACATATGGGTAGGAGAACAGGACACACGTTCCCAACATCCAAATGATCTTCAAACCAACATAGATTCATTGGCCACTTTGCACAGAGAAATAACAACATAACGAAATCCAAACCTCTCAGAATTGTTCTGATGTAATACACCCCATGAGATCTGGACTGCAACCCTCGCCAGTCCTATTCTGGGGATGTTGGGAATTCCAGCCCAAAGCCTCAAGGGTGACTCAATTCCCACAACTCCAACCATCAACGTCATTATTATTTACTAGCCGTCCCCTGCCACGCGTTGCTGTGGCCCACATGGGGGTTCTGTGTGGGAGGCTTGGCCCAATTCTATCGTTGGTGGGGTTCAGAATGCTCTGTGATTGTAGGTGGACTATAAATCCCAGCAACTCCAACTCCCAAATGTCAAGATTATATTTTCCCCAAACTCCACCAGTGTTCACATTTGGGCATATTGAGTATTCGTGTAGAGTTTGGTCCAGATCCATCATTGTTTGAGTCCACAGTGATCTCTGGATGTAGGTGAACTATAACTCCAAAATCAAAGGACACTGCCCACCAAACCCTTCCAGTATTTTCTGTTGGTCATGGGAGAACTGTGTGCCAAGTTTGGTTCAATTCCATCAATGGTGGGGTTCAGAATGCTCTTTGATTGTAGCTGAACTATAAATCCCAGCAACTACAACTCCCAAATGACAAAATCATTTTTTTTTTGAGTGAAGGACATACATTGGGTTGTTAGGTGTCTTGTGTCCAAATTTGGTGTCAATTTGAGTTGTTAACCCCACAAACGAACATTACATTTTTATTTATATAGACTAGCTGTTCCTGCCACACATTGCTGTGGTCAACCTTCCCTCCCTCCTTCTCTCCTTTGCTTTTTTTTCTTTCCTTCTCCCCTTCCTTCCCCCTTTTTCTCCTTCCTTCCTTCTCTTCTTCTTCCCTTCCTTCCCCCACCTTTTCTTTCCCTTCCTCTTTCTCCCCTTTCTTCCTTCTCTACCTATTCTTGGACTGCAACACCCAGCAGTCCTCCTGATCCATCTACCTACCTCTAACTAATCTATCTATCTGGAGTTGCAGTCCAGGAATAGGAAATTGGAAACATGCAGGGATGGGGATGCTCTCAAAGAAATCCAAGGAGAAGAAGGCCTGGTCTAGGGAATGCTGGGAGCTGTAGTCTGGAAGAAGAGTGTGGATCTGCTATTGTGTGTTTTGTTTGCCAGGGGAGTCGTTTTTGCACATGCACTGTAGCGTCGTTTTGCCTTTTTAAGTCCCTTCCGCTGTGTTTTGTTTAGTGTTTTGATGAGTTATGGTCACCCGTTGGCCTGAGAGGTGTCTTGTGTCCAAATGTGGTGTCAATTCATCCAGTGGTTTTTGAATTATATTACTCCCACAAACATTACATTATTTATATAGATGCTAGCTGTCCCCTGCCACACGTCGCTGTGGCCCAGTCTGTGTATGTGTATAAATTTGTGTATATGTGTGTGTGGTTTTGTGCATGCATTGTAATTTATTTTTTTGCTTTTTAAGTCTGTGTTTTTTAGTGTATTGTTATGTTGTGCTTTGAGGCCTTGGCCTTTGTAAGCCGCATCGAGTCCTTCGGGAGATGCTGGCGGGGTACAAATAAAGTTTAATAATAATAATAGTCTTTTATGAGTGATGGTCACTCGTTGGCCTGAGAGGTGTCTTGTGTCCAAATGTGGTGTCAATTCATCCAGTGGTTTTTGAGTTATGTTAATCCCACAAACATTACATTATTAATATAGATACTAGCTGTCCCCTGCCACATGTCACTGTGGCCCAGTCTTTTGTGTATATGTGTGTGTATATATTTGTGTATATGTGTGGTTTTGTGCATGCGTTGTAATGTGTTTTTTTTTTGGTTTTTAAGTCTTTTGTGTTTTTACTATTTTATGAACGATGGTCACTCGCTGGCCTGCAAGGTGTGCAGATTTGGTGTTAATTCGTCCAGTGGTTTTTGAGTTATGTTAATCACACGAACAAACATTACATTTTTATTTATACAGATATACTGCTTTTCTCTCTCAAAGAGACTATGATCAGAGAAATTAGGAAAGCCCCTTCTCTAAAAGTTTTTAAGAAGAACCTTAAAACCTGGCTCTTCCATTGTGACTTTGATGAGTAGGTATAATAATAATAATAATAATAAATGACAAACTTTATTTGTACCCCGCTACCATCTCCCAAGGGACTCGGTGCGGCTTACATGAGGCCAAGCCCAAATATGACCATACAAGCAATAATAACAATACAAGCAATTAAAATTTATATAGGTACTCACATGACTGTTTAGCTTAAAGTTCTGTCATTGGAGTAGATGCCCCCTTCCCTTCCCCCCCCCCCACCGTGGGAAAGCTTGACCCCACAACCCCTGCCAGCATATTATCTGCTTTTCTCTTTTATCTTGTCTTAAGTTTTTAATTACTTTATTATTTATTTATTTATTTACTGCATTTGTTGACCGCCGTTCTCAGCCCTAGGGCGACTCACGGCGGTGTACAACATATAAAAACAATTTACAACAAAGGCAATATCACAAACAACAGTAACAACATCACTATCAGTAATACAATTACACTAAATCATTCGCGACGTCTCATCATAGAATCACAATCCAATCTCGTTATCCATATTCCGTTCCAATCATCATTGCCAATTGTTGTAGCACTTAGTCAAACGCCTTCTCAAACAACCACGTCTTTAGTCTCCTGCGGAATGTCATAAGGGAGGGCGCCTGTCTGATGTCTACAGGGAGGGTGTTCCACAGCCGGGGGGCCACCACCGAGAAGGCCCTATCCCTCGTCCCCGCCAGGCGTGCCTGTGAGTTTGTTACTTTAATCATTACATGCAGCCCGCTCATTGTCTTTGTGTCTATTGTAATTTTTATATTATGTATTCATATGTCTTATGCAATTATGATGTTGTTTATTGTTTATGTTTTCAGTTGTGTTTTGGTTTTCTTTATTATTATTATTCATCCTATTAAGCAAGGGGGGAATCTTCCAAACTAGAATCCCCAGGAGCAGCTGCTCTACAATTCCCACCATCCCCAATCAGCAGCATTTCAAGACAGCCATATTCTGGGGTTGAAAGGTGGACAATGGGCATCTTTTTGGGGGAAAGAAGGGAGCTAAAGCTGTTAAGCTTCCCTGCTTTCCTATTCAACAGAAACAAACAAACAAAGAGGTCTCTCTCACCCTTGATACAAGGGAGAATGGCTCGTTGCTGGATAGCAGAGGGCTTCTCAAAACCATAAGCATAGATTCCTCGTAGGAGCGACTCAGACAGGTTCATGTCGTCAAAGCTGTCCACGATCTCATTCCAATTGCTCTGCAGAGAAGAAAGAACAAAGCAGAAAGGAGAGAGTGAGCCCCTTCTTGGCTCCAAGCACCTCCTTTGTCTCAAGCTTCTGAAGAAGGGTTTCCGGTCCCTCTGTCACTGGGTTGCATCATCTACCTCATCACCCCATCTGGTCCCATTTAAGACAGGAGGTGGTCTATAAGCCTATATCTGGCATTATTTATGATTTCCATTCTTTTGCAAAGACCATTCTAGATGCAGGTATGAAAAAGGTGAATAACTTTTCTGTATTTAAGTCGGCGAAAAGCTCTCATACTTTTGGAGGAAAAAAGTTTTGGGCATTAAAAATATGGATAGACTTAACTTTTCTGCCTAAGAAAAATAATGGCAGAGGCACAACACAGACAGACTGGTCTTTGGTTGAAGAATATATTCAGAGAAATTACAAAACTGACTTAACAACTTAACTTACTAAGAGGGAAAGGACAATTTTGTTAATCAATAAGAAAATACAGAAAATGAAGTGAGGAAGATGAACAAAAGGCAAAAATTCTATTTTTTAATTTCCCCCCCTCATGTTTCTATTTCTTTTTATCTCTATATGTTTCCATTTCCTACTTTTCTTTAATTACATTGTATACTCTCCTTGTATATTTTAAAAATTATTTTAGATGCAAAACAATAAAAATCACTTTAAAAAAAGATAGGAGTTGGTTAGTTGAAGAAAACCTTCAACGTTAATCCATCGCTTAGATTTTTCCTGACTACATTCTTTACATCTTCTAGATGGGAGGTCAACTTCAGAAAATAATAACCTGAAGTTCCAAATAAGGTGAGCTCGAAACCTTGCCTCAATCCCTGGAGAACCACAAGTACTACTAGAGAGTCATCAATATTACACTTTTCTCAACCTTTTTGGCCTGGGAGAACCCTAAAAGAATTACTGCAGAAAAATCATCTATAGTTTGAAGGATTTTAAGAGACCTCTAACATATTCCCAGAGTTCTTAGGGACTTTTGTGGAAAAACCCAAGACCTACCAGGGTTTCCCAAAGAATTTTTGGACTCTAACTCCCACATTCCTTGATCATTTGCCAAAAGAACTGAGGCTTCTGAGAGTTGGAGCCCTAAATACCTGGAAGTCTGGCATTTGGGCATCCCCGGACTAGGCAAACCAAGGGATTTCTGGATGGCCATCTGGAGATCTGCTTCGCAGACATTCCTATGCAGAAAGTTCCAGCTCTACGCCCAGGAATCCTCCCAGGTGGGACATGATATGGCTTTTAACTTTGACAACATTTTATTTCCTCCTATGAACCATCTAGGACAGAGTTTCTCAACCTTGGGGACGGGACCCCAGGGGGGGGGGGGGGGGGGTCAGAGGGGTCGCCAAAGACCATCAGAAACACAGTATTTTTTTTGTTGGTCATGGGGGTTCCATATGGGAATTTTGGTCCAGTTCTATCGTTGCTGGAGTTCAGAATGCTCTTTCATTGTAGGTATAGGTGAACTATAAATCTATAAATAAATGTCAAGGTCTATTTTCCCCAACTCCGCCAGTCTTCACATTTGGGCATATTGAGTATTCGTGCCCAGTTTGGTCCAGATCTGTCATTGTTTGAGCCCACAGTGCTCTCTGGGTGTAGGTGAACTACAACTCCAAAATTAAAGGTCAATGCCTACCAAACCCTTCAAGTATTTTCTGTTGGTCATGGGAATTGTGTGCCAAGTTTGTGTTTCGAAGAGTTGATGCCTAAAACAAATGGGATCTCGCCACTGAGTGCAAGGAAGCTCCGTATCCTTTTCCGGGAAGACACACAACCGCCACCCAGACAGATCCCTTCCATTTGCAACCCCAGAGAAACCCACAGCAACATGTTCATCCCCGAGAAGTCCCCGGTGCTTTCTAAAAACACCCAGTGGATTCCTTCAAGGATCCCATGATGCAGGCTGCACTCACCTCAATGACACCATCGGGGTCCATTCCTTCAGGGCCATTGTCTCTAGATCTAGGAAGAAAACACAGAATTAGCTGCCAAGGAACAATCAGACGATGGTGTCCCTCAATATAGACCAGGCATGGGCCAACTTTGGCCCTGTCGGTGTTTTGGACTTCAACTCCCACCATTCCTAACAGCCTCAGGCCCTTTCCTTTTCCCCCTCAGCCGCTTAAGCCCATGTCTGGACTAGTTGGCCCATGTCTGGACTAGTAGGAAAGATGCATTATAGTATCACTATAGTAATTCTTACTACATCCTCAGTTATTACCATTGCCATCATTGTTTCTATACAATGTTATTATCTTTGGTGCAATTATCTTGCTTTTCCATCAGACCATTGTTTTTCTCCTTTTAAGATCAAGGCTACATTCTTGTCAATTCCTTATCTTCTGCTTTCCAGTCTGGGCAATGTACACATACGTATTGTATTGTACCCTCCCCTCCTATGCTTTAGAAAGGAAGTTAAAACCTGGCTACGAAACCAGGCGTTTGGGGTGTAGCACAGGGCTATAGGCAGCTACGAAGTGATGGTATTGTGGTTGGAACGGCTTCTGGATTGTTAGTATTAAGCACATTGAATTCGGCACTATATACTGTTCTAATTACACTATGTATATTTATGCTTTTCTTATTGTGGGCACAGTGCTGTGCCGGTTGTTAGCCCCCTAAGATAGGACGGGATATAAATGCCCTAAATAAATACAATTATATTGTATTGCATTATCTTACAATCCCATCATTTATTTACGACATGTATATGCTGCCCTTCTGACCCCAAAGGAGACTCAGAGCAGCTTAAAAATAATATGTAAATACAATATATTATATTATTACCATAGCACAACATTAGTATTAGATACGACTATATTGTACTATACCATCATACTATAATATTAGTAACATTACATGTAATATAACATATATAATTATAATATTGTAGTATTATTATATTGTACTAGCTGTACCCGTTGCTGTGACCAACCTTCCCTCTCCCTTTCTTTCTCTCCTTCCTTCTCTTCTTCCCTTCCACCCCCTTTTTCTTTCCTTTTCTCCCTTCTCTACCTATTCTTGGGCTGCAACTCCCAGCAGTCCTGATCAATGGATCTAGCTACCTCCTACCTATCTCTATCTAATCTATCTGGAGGATTGCTGGGAATTGCAGTCCAGGAATAGGAAATTGGAAATATGCAGATTGGGATGCTCTCAAAGATATCCAAGGAGAAGAAAGCTTGCAGCTTGGAAGCAGGACATTTGGCTCATCCTCTTCTCCTAAAGGGCCTGGTCTAGGGGATGTTGGGAGCTGTAGTCCGGAGAGTGTGTGGGTTTGCTATATGTTAGAAATGTATTGTCGAAGGCTTTCATGGCTGGAATCACCGGGTTGTTGTAGGTTTTTTCGGGCTATATGGCCATATTCTAGAGGCATTCTCTCCTGACTTTTCACCTGCATCTATGGCAAGCATCCTCAGAGTTAGTGAGGTCCTCTGAGGATGCTTGCCATAGATGCAAGTGAAGTCAGAAGAGAATGCCTCTAGACCATGGCCATATAGCCCCAAAAAAACTTACAACAACCTATTGTGTGGTTTGTTTGCCAGGGAGTCGTTTTTGCGCATGCACTGTAGCATCTTTTTGGGGGTTTTTTGGCTTTTAAAGTCCCTTCTGCTGTGTATTTCAGTGTTTTGTATGAGAGATGGTCACTCATTGGCCCGACAATGTCTTGTGTCCAAATTTGATGTCAATTCGTCCAGTGGTCTTTGAGTTACATTAATCCCACAAACGAACATTACATTTATATATATTACATTATAATATTACATTATAATATTATGATACCACAATATTAGTATTACCAAGCACTCTATTGTTGCTGGGCGGGAGGGGCCCTTGACTGATGGCACAGGAAGCAAGGTGGAACTGCTTCCCCTCTTCACTCTGGCCTCAGAGTGGCAGTTGGTCCTGGAGAGAGGGGTTTCTTCATTTACAATCAGGGCCACATGTCTGTCAATTCTTGGGGGATTATTTTGCACTAAAACTATTGTTTATCACAGGCCTGGGCCAAATTGGGCCCTCTGGGTATTTTGGACTCGAACTCCCAACATTCCTAGCAGCCTCAAAAACTAATTTTCTTATATTGTACTATCATCGTTATTATTGCATTATATATTTATTTACGACATTTATATGCCACCCGCCTCACCCTGAAGGGGACTCAGAGCAGCTTAAAAGATGTAAGCTAGAACATGGCCATATAGCCCGAAAAAAACCTACAACAACCCAGTGATTCCGGCCATGAAAGCCTTCGACTATATATATAGGTTGTAGGTTTTTTCGGGCTATATGGCCATGTTCTAGAGGCATTCTCTCCTGATGTTTCGCCTGCATCTGTGGCAAGCATCCTCAGAGGTTGTGAGGTCTGTTGGAAGTAGGAAAATGGGTTTATATATCTGTGGAATGACCAGGGTGGGACAAAGGACTCTTGTCTGCTGGAGCTAGGTGTGAATGTTTCAACTGACCACCTTGTTTAGAGGTTTTTTAATACTGGTAGCCAGATTTTGTTCGTTTTCATGGTCTCCTCCTTACTGTTGAAAATGTCCACATTATATTATATTATTAGCATAGTACCATATCAGAATTAAATATGACTATATTGTACTGTACCATTATATCGTAATATTACATATAATATATTACATCATATCATTATATTGCATTACAATTTAGTATTGCAGGTACTATATGTACATACATTATATTATGTTATATAAATTACATTACTAGAATAGCACAGGAGACAAGGTGGAACTGTCTTCCTGGCTTCTCCTCTTCTCTGTGGCACTCCTTTTACGATCCTGTCAATTCCTAATCTATTTTCCTGCCTTTTAATCAGATTGATTGATCTTTTGAGTACAAAACTACCTCGTCCTAGCCATTTTTCGGATGGGAATCCAACTAGAATCCATCAATCTAGGGTTATTTTGCACTAAAACTATTGTTTATCCCAGCCCTGGGCCAAATTGGGGCCTGGGGGTGTTTTGGACTCCAACTCCCTTCATTCCTAGCAGCCTCAGGCCTTTTCCTTTTCCCCTCAGCCGCTTAAAACACCCCCAAAGCCCAATTTGGCTGAAAAAGGCCCGAGGCTGCTAGGAATGATGGGAGTTGGAGTCCAAAACACCCCCAGGCCCCAATTTGGCAGGAAAAGGCCTGAGGCTGCTAGGAATGATGGGAGTTGGAGTCCAAAACACCCCCCAGGGCTGTAGTCTCTTGAATTATGTGTCTTCCATCGATATAGTTGGCCCCCGAAGGTGGCAACACGGCCCCGCCGCCATTTTTGACCCGAAAACACCATTTTGGGCCTCCCAGACCGGAACTTCCGCCGGGCCTCGCGCCCTTTCTTCCTGACATCCGGGTCTTTTCCCAGCGCGCGGGGCCCGAGGCCTCTGCAGCTCCTCCCACTTCCGGAATCTCCTTATAAGGCCAGCGAGGCCCCGCCCTTTTTTGCTCGCCAGCGGCCACGGGGGCCGCGTGACGTCACGGGCAGCCGAAAAAGTTCCCGGATGCGAAGCGGCAGGACAATGGGCAAAGGAAGGAGAGAGGAAAAAATGGACGCGCCCAAAAAAGGGGGGGAAGGGAAAAAAGGAGATTCTAGGATTCACAACTAATGGTATTTCCCATTCGAGAATAGAGATTTGGGAAATGAGATTCTAGAATGTACAATGTCCAACTAATGGGATTTCTCACTGGATAGGGAATTCGGGAATGGTTTCACCTGAGTTTCCCCCCCATCAAGGGAATGGTCTCGCCCAAGCTATCCAAAGAAATGATTTCCAACCAAGAGGTGGAAAATGGGTTTTCTCATTAGAGAATGGCGAAAGGGGTCGAACTGAGCGCCCCCCTAAAAAGGAATGGTCTCGTCCAAGCGTCCCTAAGAAACAAGACGCTGGGAAATACCAAGTGTTTCGGGAGGGGTGGGTAGAGTTAGGGGATCGGGAATAGGTTCGCCTGAGCGTCCCCCGTGTAAAGGAATGGCCTCGCCCAAGCGTCCCAAAGTAACAAGGCGCTGGGACATTCCAAATGTTCCGGGAGGAGAGATTAGAGTGGAAAATGAGGGTCTCCCCGTATAAAGGAATGGTCTCGCCCAAACGTCCCAAAGTAACAAGGCACTGGGATATACCAAATGCTCTAGGAGGGGGGGATTACAGTTGGAAATGAGGGTCCCCCCGTATAAAGGAATGGTCTCGGCCTTGCGCCCCAAAGAAACAAGACGCTGGGAAATACCAAATGTTCAGGGAGGTGTGGGTAGAGTTCGGGGATCGGGAATAGGTTCGCCTTAGTGTCCCCCGTATAAAAGAATGGTCTCGCCCAAGCGTCCCAAAGTAACAAGGCACTGGGATATACCAAATGCTCTAGGAGGGGGGATTAGAGTTGGAAATTAGGGTCTCCCGTATAAAGGAATGGTCTCACCAAAGTAACAAGGCGCTGGGACACACTAAATGTGCCGGGAGGTGGGAAATACCAAATGTTCAGGGAGGGGGATTAAGAGTTGGAAATGAGGGTCCCCCCGTTTAAAGAAAAGGTCTCGTCCAAGCGACCCAAAGAAACAAGACGCTGGGAAATACCAAATGTTCAGGGAGGGGGGGTTAGAGTTGGAAATAAGGGTCTCCCGTATAAATGAATGGTCTCGCCCAAGCGACCCAAAGTAACAAGGCGCTGGGAAATACCAAGTGCTCAGGGAGGGGGGGTTAAGAGTTGGAAATGGGGGAAAAGGAACCATTGTGTAAGAACGAGAAAGTTGTGTAAGAACGAGACGCAAAACGGCTCCTCGCGTGGGGGAAAGGAGAAGCGACGCTGTGTACATTCCACGAAAAAAAGTGGAAAATATAATTTAAAAATAATAAACAACCCCCCTCGGAAATTAAATGGACTCGTCCGCCATGTAGGAAACCAACGGGAAGGACGAAACTATTTTAAAAATGGGGGGATTGCAACTGCACTAAGAGCGCCCTCGAAATTAAATGGATTCGTCCGCCATGTAGGAAAGCAGAGGAAAGGACTAAACTATTTCAAAAATGGGGGGTGAGCTGGGATTGCAACTCCACTGAGAACGCCCTCGATGCGCGAAATGGGGGGTGAAGTGGTTGCGCGAAATGGCGTCCCTCGTCGCTTGGGAGGAGACAGGCCAAGGCGAAGGCCGCGCCAGCGCCTACCTAACCATTTTTTCACCACCACGCCCGCAAAGGAAATGGTTCCGCCCAGAGGTCCATAAGGGACTAAAAGGGCGAGGGAGAGTCCAATCCGTTTTTAGGGGGGGAAAGCGGGAGGGAAAGAAATCGGCCACGTGGTCCGGAAGGAAAGGGGACTGAAGGCCAAAGGATGAAAAAAAGGTCACGAAAATGAAACAAAACCAAAATAATAACACCCCGGATTGTTAAAATAGGAAGAACGAAGGATTTCTAATATTATCCCCCCTACTGTGGAAATGGTTTGTTCCACCGCGGAGGGAGGATGGAAGGAAGAAGGAACAGCCGCGGCCTAGCGCGGAGGGGGGGAGGGGGAGAAGGGAAGAGCCTTCCCTCGCGCTCACTCACCGGCTCTCTTGACTCGCAGACATTCTGGGCAGAAAGGTCCTAGCCCCGCCCGCTTCACTCCACCTTATAACAGCCGCCTAGTCCCGCCCCCCGGCCCCTCCCTTATTGGGCCGCAGGCTAAGTCCCGCCCCTTGCTTCCCCTCCTCCTATTGGACCATCACACTGCCCATCACCTAGACCGGCTTTTCCCTTATTGGCTGCCCTGTTAAAAAAAAAATCATACCCCGCGTCAGGCGTTGACGGAGACTCGCCTTGATTGGCTGAATCTCCGGAACTGGGTGACGTCAAAGAGGAGGGGCTTACTGAGAAAGCTGGCGACGTGACGTCAAGGAGGAGAAAGGGGAATCGGATTGGCTCCCCGCCGCGCCTGTCAGGAAGGGGCGGGAAAGGAGGTAGCCAATGGGAGGCGAGGAGGAAGGAGTAGGCCCTAAAGCAGCCCAAGCGAGGAAAAAAGCCCACGTGGTGGAGAGGCCTCTCTTTGTAGGGGGGCAAATTAGGAAGGGATTCAGTCGTTGCAAATTGGAACTAAAATTCCCAGGATCTTCTAGGGGATTCTGGGAATTGTAGTCCAAATGGAAACTGGGGGATTCTGGGAATTGTACTCCAAATAGGAACTGGGGATTCTGGGAATTGTAGTCCGAATAGGAATTGTTGCAAATAGGAACTACAATTCCCAGGATCTCCTGGGGATTCTGGGAATTGTCGTCCAAATAGGAATTGTTGCAAATAGGAACTACAATTCCCAGGATCTTCTGGGGGATTCTGGGAATTGTCGTCCAAATAGGAACTGGGGGATTCTGGGAGTTGTAGTCCAACATCAGCATGGGAAAGGTTCCAATTCTTTTCAAATCCAGCACGATAGCCTTTGAACTGCTATGGGGTCCTAGGAGTTGTAGTTTCCCAAGGACTTGAGCTTTATCTCACCAAACTACACTCCCCAGGACTCCAGAGGTATCAAACCTCATTAGTGTTGCAGTGTTGATGTTCCTTTTAATGCAGGCATGGGCCGACTTCGGCTCTCCCTCCAGGTGTTTTGGACTTCAACTCCCACAATTCCTAACAGCAGGAGACAACCCCAATGTGGTCTATACCACTGGTCACTTCTCTCCAGGACGAAGGAGAGCCATTGGTCAATACTCTTTGGCCAATGTGTTGTCGAAGGCTTTTATGGTCGGAATCCTGGGAGTTATAGTACTCAAGGGGTAGTGCATAATATGCTTGTAGTTGGCCTCTATAGAAACAGAATGCTGGGATGGAGAGTGGCAGCAACATCATCCTCCCTTTTTAATTTTGGGAGTGAAAGCTTGTGTTTAAAGGGTTGTTGTGAGTTTTCCTGGCCATATTCCAGAAGCATTCTCCTTCCTGATGTTTCATCCACACCTATGGCAAGGCCAGCTAACCCAATCAGGGCCAGCTAACATGTTCCAACAAAGGATTCCCCCAGGCAGGCTTTGACATTGTAAGGCCATTCAATGCTAATCAAGCTGGTCCATTGCAACATTATTTCCAATTTTAATTTTACATTTGGCCTTCCCACTGTTTAATTGTGTGTTGTCTTATTGATAATGTTGTATATTTTATTGTCTATGTTTTATTTGAATTTGCTTGTATTGTTGTTATTGCTTGTATTGTTGTATTCGGGCTCGGCCTCATGTAAGCTGCACCGAGTCCCTTGGAGAGATGGTAGCGGGTTACAAATAAAGTGTTGTTGTTATTATTATTATTATTATTATTATTATTATTTTAGTTATTTATTTATTTGTCATGTCAGGACAACCAGTCAAATTATATTACATTTCTAACAGAACAAAGCAAACAAACAGACAAAATACAAAATTTGCGAGTTTGGCAGTTGATTAAATGTCCTTTGAGCAGGATCTGGCCACTTGGAGTGCCTCTGATGTTGCCGCAAGAAGGTCCTCCCTTGCGCATGTGACGGGGCTCAGGTTGCATTGCAGCAGGTGGTCAGTGGTTTGCTCTTCTCCACACTCGCATATCGAGGATTCCACTTTGTGGCCCCATTTTTCAAGGTTGGCTCTGCATTTCGTGGTGCCAGAGCGCAGTCTGTTCAGTGCCTTCCAAGTCGCCCCGTCTTCTGTGTGCCCAGGGGGGAGTCTCTCATTTCGTATCAGCCATGGGTTGAGGTTCTAGGTTTGAGCCTGCCACTTTTGGACTCTCGCTTGCTGAGGTCTTCCAGCGAGTGTCTCTGTAGATCTTAGAAAACTATTTCTAGATTTAAGTCATTGATGTGCTGGCTGATACCCAAACAGGGGATGAGCTGGAGGTGTCTCTGCCTTGGTCCTTCCACTATTGGCTGCTACTTCCTGGTGGATGTCAGGTGGTGCAATACCGGCTAAGCAATGTAATGTCTCCAGTGGTGTAGGGCGCAGGCACCCTGTGATAATGCAGCATGTCTCATTGAGAGCCACATCCACTGTTTTAGTGTGGTGAGATGTGTTCCACACTGGGCATGCATACTCAGCAGCAGAGTAGCACAGTGCAAGGGTAGATGCCTTCACTGTGTCTGGTTGTGATCCCCAGGTTGTGCCAGTCAGCTTTCGTATGATATTGTCTCTAGCACCCACTTTTTCCTTGATATTCAGGCAGTGCTTCTTGTAGGTAAGAGCACGGTCCAGAGTGACTCCCAGGGATTTGGGTGCGCTGCAATGCTCCAGTAGGATTCCTTCCCAGGTGATCTTCAGAGCTCGGGATGCTTGTCTGTTCCTCTTCTTCTTCTTCTTCTTCTTATTATTATTATTTACACTTGCATCAAGCAGACAAGAGTTTTTTCTCTACCCTGGATATTATTCCACCTATATATATTCCACTTGCTTAGTTTCCAATAGACCTCACAACCTCTGAGGATGCCTGCCATAGATGTGGGTGAAACGTCAGGAGAGAATGCTTCTGTAACATGGCCATACAGCCTGGAAAACTCACCAACAACCCACTCTTTGGCCAGTCAACCAGTTCCCAATCCATTTCACAGTTGTGTTGCCTAGCTCATGTTTTGCAAACTTCTTTCTGAGAATGTCACAGGGAACCTTATCAAAGGCCTTCCTGAAATGGAGATAGGCCCCATCCACAGCCTTCACTGCCTCTACCAAGCGTGTAACTCTGTTCAAAAAACAGAGATAAGGTTTGTCTGGCATGACTTTTTGAGACACCCATGTTGACTTTGAACACGGCCTTCCTTTCTAGGTGCTTTGACCTGCAAGGATCAAAGGATGGAAGGCATTGTTTGACTCATTGGCCACGACTGAACACTATAATTAAGTACAGTACAACTCTGTACCTACGGGACTAATTGCGGCTAATCCACAACCAAAATATGTCCTTTCATGTATACCTATGTGAGAGGAAGTCACAGGGAGGAGGGAGCAAGCATGTTTCCTGCTGCCCTGGAGACTAGGACGCAATGGCTTCAAACTACAAGAAAGGAGATTCCATCTGAACATGAGAAAGAACTTCCTGGCTGTGAGAGCTGTTCAGCAGTGGAACTCTCTGCCCCGGAGTGTGGTGGAGGCTCCTTCTTTGGAAGCTTTTAAACAGAGGCTGGATGGCCATCTGTCAGGGGTGATTTGAATGCAACATTCCTGCTTCTTGGCGGAATGGGGTTGGACTGGATGGCCCATGAGGTCTCTTCCAACTCTTTGATTCTATGACATGAGAGAAGCCTCCCGCAGGATGGTAAAACATCTGGGCATCCCCTGGGCAACGTCCTTGCAGACGGCCAATTCTCTCACACCAGAACCGGCTTGCAGTTTCTCAAGTGGCTTCCGATACACACAAAAAAAATGACCTGCTCTAAAACCTTTGCGCTTCCTTCAGGAGAGATCAGTAGGTAAGGTAAAGGTCTTCCCCTAACACGAAGTCTAGTCGTGTCCGACTCTGGGGTTGGTGCTCATCTCCATTTCTAAGCCGAAGAGCTGGCGTTGTCTGCAGACACCTTCAAGGTCATGTGGCCGGCATGACTGCATGGAGCGCCGTTATCTTTCCGCTGGAGCGGTACCTATTGATCTACTCACATTTGCATGTTTTCGAACTGCTAGGTTGGCAGGAGCTGAGGCTAATAGCGGAAGCTCACACTGCTCCCCGGATTCGAACCTGCAACCTTTTGGTCAACAAGCTCAGCAGCTCAGCGCTTTAACCCACTGTGCCACCGCGGAAGAGATAAAGCAGGGTATAAATAAATATAGTAATAGTAATAATGATAACCTTCTGTGTTATTTCCATCAGGCTCAGCAGTTTAGTTTTTTTACATCCCTCAAACCCACTCCAGACTCAAGAGCTTGGCTTTAGGCTTACAAAGGGCGGTCATTAAAGATTTCCCTTGACCCACTTCAGGGAGTTGGACTAGATGGCCTTAAGGCAGCATTTCTCAACCTGGGAAGTCAAGACCCCGGTGGGGGGGTCACCAGGGAAGTGTCAGAAGGGTCACCCAAGACCACCAGAAAACACAGCATTTTCTGTTGATCATGGGGGTTCTGTGTGGGATGTTTGGCCCAATTCCATAGTTGGTGGGGTTCAGAATGCTCTTTGATTGTAGGTAAACTATACATCCTAGTAACTACAACTCCCAAATGTCAAGGTCTATTTCCCCCAAACTCCTTCTGTGTTCGCATTTGGGCATATTGAGTATTCCTGTCAAGTTTGGTCCAGATCCATCATTGTCTGAGTCCACACTGTTCTCTGAATGGAGGTGAACTACAATTCCAAAACTCAAGGTCAAATGCCCACCAAACGCTTTCGGTATTTTCTGTTGGTCATGGGAGTTCTGTGTACCAAGTTTGGGGGTGTCAGAAGGGTCACCCAAGACCACCAGAATGCTCTTTGATTGTAGGTGAACTATAAATCCCAGCAACTACAACTCCCAAAGGGCAAAATCATAATTTTTGAGTGATGGTCACTCCTTGTGTTGTGAGATGTTTTGTTGCCAAATTTGGTGTGATTTCGTTCATTGGTTCTTTTGTTTTTAAGGTACTCATTATGCACGGAGCATTTTTATATATATTGATGATGATGCTGTTGCTTGTTGCTTAAGTTTTTTAGATTTTATTTTGCTGTAATATGTT